GCACTATGTGAATTTTGGTTCAAATACATGCCTCTCAAATCCACCTGTGTAGTGGTAGTTACAGTACTGGATGAGGTGTACATGTGGGAAAGTGTATATGGTTCTTCTTTTTATAAAATTGATTTCAGAGAGGAGTGGAGAGGGAGAAAGAAATGAAACATCAGTGATGAAAGAGAATCATTGATTGCCTCCTGCACGCCCCCCACTCAGCATCCAGCCGGGAACCGCCACCGGGGCAACCAGATGGGGAATGGAACTGTGACCTCCTGGTTCATAGGCTGACACTCAACCACTGAGCCAGGCCAGCCAGGCTACATGGTTATTCTTGAAGTCCAGCCAATGATAATATTCTATCCAAAATGCAACTTAATTTATCTTAAATGGATACAAGAGGTAATTTTGGAAGCATGGTGCTGGAGAGCATATGCCAGAGGGACAAGGACAAGACAAATGTCCCAGGGTCCCTTCCCTCACTCTCCTCTGTTACTCCCAGGCTGAGAGACTGGAGCTATTTCCATTCATCAAACCCCTGAAATAGTGATAAAGTAAGAAATTGAACAAAAGGGGTCACGAAATGTGTGGCATATTTACATGTTTAACATTTTAAAATCAATACTGTTAACACATAAGCACAAAACCTGTGATTGCGTGTATAGCTTCATTTGACAAATAACAAGGAAATGGAAGAGAATGCTCCCCGGAGGCCGCACTACCACCTCCGATTTTCCTCTTAGTTATAGAAGGACACCCTTCTGTCGTCCCTGCTGCCAGTCTTAGCGGAACATAAAGGCTGATGGAACCACGGGGAGTTCCCGGAGTGTGAACACGGGCGGGAAAGAAGGCCATGCTGGGGATTTGAGCCTTCACTGCCGCCTTCCACACCTCTGGCCAGCTGCCCTCTGCCCCGCCCTGATGGAGTTCCCGACTCTCCATCCCTGAACCCTCCAGGCCAGGGGACCCTGGTCCACCCTCAGGAGCACGCGCCTTTCCCCGCGCTCCCGCGTGTTGCCAGGGCCGCGCCCGGCTGGGTTTCCGCGCGCGGGGGGCGCCCTGGAGAGCAAACCACGCCGGCCTCACTGTGCGCGCGGGCCGAGCGGTTCACTTTGACATTGGAGTCTAGTCGGGCGATCTGGCCGGCGGGGCAGCCGGGGCAGCGAGGCGCGTGGGGCGGGGGGCGGGGGGGGGGTGCGGGGAGCCGGGCGGGCTGTGCGGGCCTCGCGGGGGCTGGGCCCGAGCCAAGAGCGGGAAACCGGGTGGCGCGCGAGGGCGGCGGGCCGCTGGGGGCGCAGCGCCTCCCGGGCCCCGGTGACCCGCGCGGCCCGCCAGCCTCCGCGTCCCAGCGCGAGTGACATCGGGTGGGGGCTGCCCGTCCCCAGGGCCCGGCCAACCTGGAGGCCGGCGGCTGGGAGAAGGCGCGCCCATCCTCAGCCCCAGCTCCCCTGGGTCTCCACTCCCGAGGCCGGGATGGGCGGGCGCCCCGGGGCTTTGAGAAAGAAGGGCCCGTCCGGGCGCGCGCGCGGGTGAGATGCTGGAGCTGGGCGTTGGGACGGGACGGCCCCTGCCCGGCCTGGAAGTGCGCGCACCGGTGGCGGCGTGGCGCGGTGGCGTTTTGTCTACGCGGATCACTGAATGGCGGTGGGCGAGCGGAGCGACCACCGGGTCTTCTAGTTACCGGCACCCGCGGCCCTGACGCCCCCGCGGGCAGCGGGAGCCGCACCCGCCGCCCCGGAGCGGCCGCTCCTCTTTGAGCCTCACGCCGGGCAGTTGGGCGGCGGTGCCGCGAGGAGCGTGCCGCCCCGCGCCCCCGCATCCCCAGAGGCGTCCCCTGGACCTCGACAGGCCTCCCGGGAGTCTGTGGCCGGACCCCCGGGAGCCAGGCCCACCAGAGTCTGACTTCTTTCCACGTGATGAGGTCAGAGCGGCCAGTTGGTGAATGATGGATGGCTTCATGAGGGGGAAGCCACAGCGTTCCCCATAGCTGGTGGCTACAGCGTGACACTATGCCATCTCAGTGGAACTCCTGATTGTAGGGGCAGTGGTTCGCTGGGACATCCAGGCCCTGATCGTGCGTATAGTGTTGCCTTATAAGAAGCACTCGACAGCATAAAACCAGGGCGGGGTGCCCCTCTGGCTAATCACCTCTGCCTTTAGTTCCTTTGCATCCCGGTTTTTATCCCCTCTCTACCTTCCCTTTCCCTCCCCCTCCCCCCCCCAGTCTTTTCTCACTCCTTCTCTCCCTTCCCCTTCCTCCTTCCCTCCACCTCCTTGAGTTGTTGGTGCTGAAGGCCACTCACTCACCGACATCCCCGGCCAGGAGCATGGGGTAAAACCCCACACCTCCCAGTTAGAATTGGAGCGCACAGATTGGACCCCAAAGCACTTTTGATTAGTGAAGTTTCCTATCAGAGCCCATAAATGCAGGTTTACAAGGATTTTCCCGGCCCCTCGGAAAGCCGTTTCTATAACCTAGAGTCATTTTGGTTGTGTGCTTGCTCCAACAAGAAAGGAACTGGCCGGGGCTTACGTTCTGGATGCAGAAAGATTATTTTAAAGGTAGTTTCCCGGTTGCAGACAACCAATTCTTGATTCCCTCACCTACCAAGGCAGTTTGTCATTTTGGCCCTTCACCTCAACACATCCCACATTTCTTAAAGGCGCAAGTCTTCCCCTACATTGGCTAGAACGCACTACAGCTTTTGAGACAACTTTGGGGCACTTGCCTACAAAACTCTTCCTGATCCTTCACAAGAGAGTAAGGCCAACTGAGAGACTGTAAACTTCCTTACGTCTGGGACTGAACAGATTCGATTGATAAGACGTGTAAGGTCTGCTCACCCTTAGTCACAGTTGGCTACTCACTGATGCCTTTCTATCTTACAGACTTAGATTCAACCCCAACCCCCTCCCTCAGTGGAGAAAGCACAGCAGTTCAGATTCTTATTTCAGGTCATCATAAAAAGCAAAATAGCTTTTAAACAGGTTGGGCATCCTTTATAAGCTTTTCCATTCAGAAATATATATATATATATATATATATATATATATATATATATATATATATATATATGACAAGGGAAGCAGGAAGAGAGCATTCCATTATTTCAGTGGATTGCTTTTTAGTGCAAAGTTAGAAGAACACTGGCCTCTCCCACTCCACCTTAGTTGGGAGAAGGGTTTTTTACTATTGACTTTTGCATAATGCCCCCTCCCCTCCTTTCCTACAAAGTAACGAATACACCAAAAGTCACAAATACACCTTCCTTAGCCTGCTCTATTAAATGTCACCCTTGATTTACGCTCTTCAATTCCCCATCCACCAACACACTCACACTTCTACAAGCACATTTTTCTGGATCTAGAGAGCATTGAGATGTGCACAACTTTTTTAGTATTGCCCTGACTTTCATTCTTTTCAAACAGACATTAACGTGTTCACCTGTTGGGTGTGTGTGTGTGTGTGTGTGTTTCAGATTCCACAGGAAAGGTTTGAATTGGTGTCTAAGTAATAGTCACCAAGAATCCCTTATTAGATGCCTTCCAGACCACTTGTAAACCAATAACATTGTTGTTGCCAAATGGAAACTAGAAGCTAAGATCAGTTTTGTCAAGATATTCCTTTGAGCATTCATCTTTCTTTTACTTTGGATGGTTTGTGGGAAGAATCGGAAGACTGAATGGGGCAGGGGACCAATGAGAACCGATGGAAACTTCTTTTTTAAAATTCAAGGCATTTTCCCAGACTGCTGTCTTGCCACAAATGAAAACACACAGAGCAGAAGTCATGAAAGTGGATTGTTGTCACTCTGGGCTGTGGGAGGCCTGGAGAGACCTGGCCTTAATTCCTCGCCACCTTCCCCTTCCCTCGCAGCACCCTCATTGCCTAAGGATTCGGGGGCTCTCTCAAAGTTACGGACCTCACCTGGGTCTAGGTGGGCCGAGGCCAAGGCTCTCCATGGACTTGAGGAAGAAGGGGACTGTAAGAAGAAGCCTGGGCGGGCAGGGCACTGTAACCAGAGGGCTGAGGCCACCTGGCAGGATGGCGATCAAGGAGTCAAAACTAGCTATCAGTGCATGCAAGAGAGCCTCGAGGAGGACCCTTTGGGTGCTAGAGACCAATGTTTACCTCGTTCCACTCCTCCCCCTGGGCTCCCAACCTAGGTTTTCTGGGATTGGAGACCTACCCAGAGGAGAAGGTTAAGGACACACACCTAGCCCCTGCCCGACACACGCAGGCACGGGTGGGCGCTTGCAGAGATCAGGAGACACACCTCAAGTCCTCAGTGGTCTGTGTGTCTGGCTCATGCAGTTGTGCATCGTCAACAGGGGAGGGGAGAGGAGAGCCTCGCTGGTTTTCCTTAGTTGCTCTCTCTGGGGTTATGTCTCCTCTCCCCCCATCCTTTGCCTCACCCCATCAAGACCAAATAGAATTGAAACTCCGTTGCCTTTGCCTGCACGGAGCCTAAAAATTCAGGTTTTGATAAGGTTACTGCACCATCGATACAATTGCAGATTTTTTTTAAAGCCTCCTCAAAGAGACAGATGTTTGGGCTGATTAAGAATTCAGGAGAAACCTGCAGCTGCACCAAGGAATAATCTATTGGACAAATATTTTAATAAAAAGATATGAAGAGATCAGCCCGACCTTGCAAGGTCTTCTGCTTTTTTTAAAAAAAAAATCTTTATCAAACCCCTATTCTATGGCTTCAATAAACAGAACCCATTACCTCACGGCATCTTTTGTTGGCCCCATACAAGAGAGAACAAAATGGTTATTCAGGGAACGCTTTCGATTTTTATTGTGGGTAGCCTGCACAAAGAGCTGTGTTATTGTATTTAAAAGAACCATCTGTAGCAGAAACAATGGCATCAAATTATCTTTGAATACCCACTGAAAAAACATAAAGCTTTTTTTTTTTTTTATTCTTCTTCTGTACGGTGGGGGGGATAGAGCAGTGTTAGGATAACTGACTTTTTTGTTGTTCTCTGGGTGCATTCTTCTCGCTCCCCCTCTCTCCCCCTCACCCTCTCACTCCTCTCTCTCTCTCCCTCTCCCTCTCTCTTTTAAAAAATCAGCCATTTGGGGTTTTAAGCCATAAACGATTTTTCTTGTTGCAGGGGATTGCAGTGGCAAAGCTAGGCTAGGTCTTGGAGGCTGGTGTGAGGCGAAGCGGGCGAAGGCAGGAGGCTGATGGAGAGACTGGGGGGAAGAAAAACCGAAATGGATTCACCGTGCCTTGGATGGAGGATGAGAAAGGAACTGCAAGCTCCTTCAACTGCTCTGTCCGGTGAGAAGTGATCTAGCTTGGGCTGACAAGAGGCTGAGGGAGCCCTCACGTCCTTTCGCTTTTTTACCTGCCAATCAAACTGCTACAAGACAACACCCTGATCTGCCATGGACATGTAAGTAGTTTGCAACCCAACTTTGACATTCAACGGCTAGCCCACTCCTCTCCGCCCACCCCACCCCCAACTCACTTTATTTCCCTCTCATTTTTTTTTTTTTTTTTTTTCCTTTTGACCTTTAAGAGATCTGGAAATACACCCTGTGTGACAGTCGTTTAACACAGGCAGATTTCAGTCTGAAAGCGTTAAGTTGTGGGATTAAATGCTGATTTTGATTTCTTTAACAAATGCAGAAATGAAGTGGCATTATTTTATTCTCCGAACAGTTTTAGTGCTGAACGTAATCAGTTGCCTTGCAAGGGCGTGTTTGTTTCCCTTTTTTATGAATATGAAGAAATCTCTGAGCCCCCAAAGAGAAATGCAGAAATGAAAGTCAGGCTTCCATGTTAAGAATGTTACACTCTAGCATTTCATCCCCACGAAGAACCTTCTCCAGACCAAGAGTACATAGAACGGGAAGAGTGATTTGAGCCCAAAGATACGTGTCATGAGGGGGTGGCTGCTATTTCACCTGGCGTCTTCGTCTTCCTATTCTGGTGGTGGATGGGGGGGGGGGGGGGTGAAAAAAAGAGAAGGAAAGGACGTGGCGACGCCTCGTTCTTTATGAGAGATTGTCATTGACATCTAGAGATGCAAAGAGGGCAGGATAAGCAGGAAATATTACCTGAAGGAAAGAATTACAGGGCATGAGGAACTGGAAGCTGGAAGCCGGGGGTGGGGGGAAGATTCTGTGGGAAGTTGTGTGCGGGCGGATAGGGGGCTTGTTCTCTGGCGCCCTCTAATGGCAATTAGAACCACTGTTTTACTTTCTTAATTCAGTACTGAGAAAAGCAGCTGGGTTTTTTGTTGTTGCTGCTGGTGGTGGTTTTTTTCTCCGCAGAGTTAGAAACTAGAGACTATTCGTGGATTAAATTGATTCTTTTCATCCCAGGAACTTATGCATATATCTTTAAATTATCAATGTTTTCTCCTCAAACATCCTCTCCTCTCCCAAAATTTTGTTAGACTAATAGAGGAGGAGAGGCTAATGGTAAATGGATTTAAGGAGGGTGGCCCATGCCCAATTAGTAACTCGGAAAAAAGGGATTCCTTTGCTACCTGAACATCATTCGGACTCTTATAGGAGTGTGTAGGGTGTGGGGTAGAGTGGGGAGGGATGATTTGGAAATTGCAGATTCTGACATGGGTTCATTATAATACAATTTAAAGGGGGCTCTTAGGAACCTCTGTTATTGCGACATGTGGTGGTCAGGGGGCTTTCCTTCCCGCCTCCTTTTTCTTTTTTCTTTTTCTTCTTTCTTTCGTTCTTTTTTTTTTTAATTTGGTAGATAAAGGTTAATCTTGGGCTGAATGATAGAGCTATGATTGACAAGAGAAAAGGTGTTGAGGGCAGGTCGCGCTGTCTTATTTACAGCCCACTGCTTGCTGTAGAGTCTTTGTTAGGACTGGAAAGCTAATTTAGTGCTGATCAAAAGCACCACAGAGTTAAAGGACTGGTAATGACTGCTAATTTCATTTCAGCCTCATGCATCCCCAACTGCTGTAATTAAAGACATGCTATTTAAATACAGGTGAAGGTTTTTGGGGGTTTTTTATGTTGGGGTGGGGGTGGGTGGATTACAATTTTAGTTAGATTTCATCTTATACATGGGTGTTCTGTAGTCCAACACCAGATTTATTTTTAAGATCCGTTTCATGTCATTTATACCTGGCTTTGCAGAATCGACAGTTTAAAATGTGTCAATCCATAAAAGCTCCCATTTAAAGAAAGAAAGAAAGGGGGGAGGATGCAGAGGAGTAACTGTTGGGGGGGGATTTAAATATTTAGGTCTCTTCCCCCCACACACACCCCACCCCTCTTCAAATTAATAGAAGGGCCTTCGAAATAGCTAAAGTATTTGAAACTTGGGGCAAGGTTAACAGGCCAGAGGGATCAGTGTCAGCTTTTAAGACTTCTAAAAAGCTGATCATGTGAACAGATGGAAAAATATATTTTTAATTAATTTCCCTTACACTGTAGCTGCAGAGTTGGCTCAGAAACCGTGTAATTCCTCAACCGATAGGAGTTTCTTTATGAGAACATCAAAGCATAAAAAGCTCTACATTTTCGGAGTTGGTTAAAATTGATAACCACCACCCCCCCACCCCCACCCACACACACACCCCAAAAAAGAATTTTAGTCTTTAATCTCTTTTTATCCACGGAGACTAAAGCTCTGTACTCGACTCGGCAAGCGGCTTTCGCCTTCCGGGGCTGGAACCCGGCTCAGATGTGAAGCGGCAATGAGCCGCCGCTCAGGTTCGTGCCCAGCGCCCCCTGTTGGACACAGTAGAAGCTGCGCAGCGCCAGTCCTGGAAATCGCTAGAACCTTGCTCTGGGGTTAGATACAACTCTTTTTTACTCTCCAAAACGGAGATGGGGGCAAAGAAACAAGCTTTTATATCCTTTAAAGATAATTTAATTGTAAACCAATAAAAATTACAAGGAGATAATACAACTTTAATTTAGTAAAAAGTAAAGCTCAACCTCCTATTCCTCCTCCTCACATCCTAGCCAACCCCTACCCCCCATTTGGGTTTAGGGCTCTTATTAAAGATTCTGTGAGAGTGAAACAGGTAGAGAAGCACGATTTAAAAATCAAAAAGAATTTCTTCTGTAGCAGTGGAGAATCAAGCCAAAGTTACTTCTCCCGTTAGGCACACATTCAAAAAATGAAACGGACGGTGCTGCTGTTTGCTGTTTTGACATTGTCAACAGCATCTTGAATGCCATCAGAGATCCTTCAAGTATTGTAACCGAGTCTCTGAATAAATGAAATATTTGGTCCTCTTTGTTTATTTTCATAATGTAATTAAAAGGCCAGTCTGCTCTTTGAATGTTTCCCATCCCCAAACCGATCTTGATCAAACTTTTCCTTTCCCCGTTAGTGGTTAAATTCCAGATAGTATTTAGGAAACAGGTGCCTGACACATTTCTTCTTTTCTCTCAGCCTTAGGCTTGCAGGGAAAGTGGACCAATGATAAAGAGTATTTTCTTTTGAAGTTCATCATTTCCATGGACCAGGAATCCAAATTATCCTAGGGGGGGACGAGGACTGTTTTTACACTTCCAAAAACTACCTGTCCCCATAAGAAAGCACTTTGACCTGTTCTTTGGTGAGCAAATAAAGACCAAAGTGCACTCTGCATTCTTTCAGAAAGATCAGCTATAAAAATGAGACCTCTTTTGAATTTAAAACAATGGGGAAATATGGGTTTATTTAGGTGTGTAAAGTCAAGTTGAAATAATTGTGCTAAATGAACAGATGAGGTCTCCGCGAGGTGTTTTATGATTTCAGTCATCAGGGATGTACTTACAAGTTTAATTTTTAGATAAAATTTACCTTAAGAAGTTTAGGGCTTGTTTCGCCCATTGGGGAAACCAGCTGAAGTTTCAAGCGGAATTACTTTTAAAGATATTTATACTGTGGCTACGCAAATTGTTCATGTTGATCTCTGCTTTCTTCCTCCCACCTCCCAAAATCAGTGGGTCCGAGGTTGTGCTTTTAGGGGAATTGCTGAAAACAATTTGGTGCGATGAGAGATGCCTTCTCCATCTGATTCCAGAATCGAATCCCGGCTTAGGCTTCTCAATAAATTAGTTCGGATACCGTGGCAGGAAAAGAGTCAGCGTTTTGGGGGTTTTTTTGTGTTGTTTTTTTTTTAATCCATTTTTGCCCGGAATTCTATCGAAATGAGCCAGCGGGATTCCGCGCTCCCGACATTCCTACTCTTCGCTTTACCCGAAGACTGGTACCATGACAGTCGTGCTCAGTGCGGGCAGCTTCGGAACCAGCGCCCACCCGGGAAGGGAAGCAGCGAAGCGCGGACGGCCGCGTCCCGAGGCTGCGGGCCGCGTGGGGAGGCCCAAGCCCGCAGAACCTTGGAGGCGCCCCCACGAAGCGGGTTCCACGCCTGCGGTTCGGAATCGATGTCGAATTTGCAACAGCCGAGGCCCGGAGATTTTGACCCCTTCCCGCCCCCTCGAGGGTCCCAACTTGTAGGGAGAGGCGGGGTGGGGGAGGGGAGGAGGCGGGCGCACCTGGCTGCGCGCTGGCTGCCGGCGAGCCCCCCGCTGCCCAGGGCCCCCCGGGAAGGCGCGGTTCCCGGGGCCGGGAACTGAACTAAACAAGTGGGTGGCCCAGGCCTGGGAACGCCGCCCGGCCCTCCCAGCGCAGGGTCATTTCTGCGGTTTCGGGCAGCCGCGGCCCCCGCCGGAACCGCGCGCCCCGCAGCCCGCCCGCCGCAGGGCAGCCTGGCGTGTTTGGGGGGATCGGGGAGGGGGCAGCGAGCGGCCGACTCCGTGGGAGCCGGCGAAGCCACGGCTGGCTGCGGGCCGCGCTTTCCCGCCGCCGCAGAGTTCTTCAGGGGCGGGGCGGGCGTTTGGGGTTTGTCGTCCCAGCGTCCAGGCCTGAGCCCGTGCCCGCTGGCTGGGCGCCCTGTTTTGTCAGGAGTCCATCTTGCCCGACGCTGAGGGCGATCCAGGAGGATGGGCGGCCCAAGTTGGGCCCAGTGAGTCGGTGCCAAGTCCTCAGCCCCTTCTCCTCTCCAGCACATCTTCCCTGGTGAACCCAAGCCTCGTGGGAAAGGCCGGTGGATGGATGTGGCTTGGAGTTTATTAACCTATTTTGGAGTGGAGAAAATGACTGTTAAGACTGAGATTTAAGGAGGAGCCCTCATTTACTGTTTGCTTTTTTTTTTTTTTTTTTAACTTTGAAGATACTTTAGTTTCTTGATCCAACCCTGAGACAGTCGAGGCAGCCAGGCCTGAAGGAGCTGAGATATATAGACAGACACTCGCCTCTCCACCACTCAGCGGGCAGATAAACGCTGCCAGACTACGGGTCCTAATCCAGGGCCCAGCTGCTATGTGGGTCGCTCAAGGGTGTTGAAACCACAAGTACAGCTTGACACCATTGAGCCCACGGTGCTTGTCAATAATCTGTGAATTAGGTGCA